TCCTCGTTTCGGGAATACTCGTGGACTGCACCAACATGAATATAATATAAAAGCTAAACGGCTGCAGTACAACGATTTTCATCAGTCCTCATCTGGTGAAATCGACAAACGAATCTCTTCATCATGTACTTTCATTCGAAATGAAGGTCCCCTCAACAATTTCGGCCCATTTGGAAGCTAAAAATTTAGCACTCCCCAATTCTGTAGATCCTTTAACAGTAAGCCATTCCTATTAGAATTCAGGTTAATCCATCGATAAACTTAAGTTTCTTTTTTCAGCTGGCTCGGGCATGAGCAAAAAGATGTGGATATTCCTCTGCGCATCGAAGCCTACCTTTTCCGTAGCCCGATTCTACGAATAGTCTGGCTTTTTCTGCACCCAATCATCCATTCAGTGCGCCCATTCATTAAGTCACCAAAGCCGATCTTGCTCTGGGAGCTAATCAACTTCGCCGTTCAGTTGCCATTTTCAGCTCTGGTTTACTGGACCTTTGGACTCTGGCCAACCGCTTATCTGCTGTGCGGCACATTACTCGGCCTGGGCCCACACCCCATGGCTGGCCACTTCATTAGCGAGCACTATCTCTTCACAGACCGGCAGGCCACACACTCCTACTACGGGCCACTCAACCATCTACTTTTCAACGTCGGCTACCACGTCGAGCATCATGACTTCCCCTATATTCCGCACACCCGACTGCATCTAGTCAAGGCGATGGCCCCGGAGTTCTACGATCATCTGCCGTACCACACATCAATGTGCAAGGTAAATGATTCTGCATTTTTAGGCCGTGTGTGCATACTCGCATACACATGTGGATGCGTAATTTTGTGAATGTAAATTTGCATACATTTAAATTAAGAAAAGTTACGGACAGTAGCCTATTCCCAACGTTCACTGGAATTCGTCACGATAATACGGGCTAACACGAAAACATCTCCAATGAGATTTCGGGAAATACCGAGCCAAACCACGGAGTCATTTACCGTGTGCAGGTTTGCTGACACGCCAAAGATGACCCCAGCTGGGATATATTAAAAGTTAATTTAGGCTACCCACATAGACGCCAGCAAGTGTCTGGCGACAGACTGGCCTTGATTAAGCCCT